GCCGCACGCCCGCTCCCGTGCTCTCCGCGCCGCCAGGGCCGCTGCGGGCCGGGGAGAGCCTCGCTCCCGCGCTCCGAGCAGCGGCCCGCGCAGGACGGCGGATAATGAAAGGGAAAGTGGCGCGGAGCCTGGGCGCTTTGTTTGGAGCGGAGTGCAAGCGGCCCTCTCCACAGCCTGCTCGCGGGCTGCGGGCCTGCGCCCGGTTCCCTCCCTACTCCGAAGTTGCGCGGTTGCAACCGGGAAGTGAGGCCGCCATTGTAGCGGCTGCTGGGGAGTAGGGAGGCGGCTGCGGCTGCTTATGTAAGTTTGCTTTGCGGGGAGCCGGCTCCCTGCTCCGAAAGGGCGCAGCCGCGCACCCGCAATTTGGAGAACTGCTCAGAAGGAGCTGCTTTGTTGTGTTGTAGGTGTAGTTGGGCTGCATCTTGGCTCACACCTACCTACACGCATACTGGCCTTGGCTATCTTCCGGTTTAGCTCATTGCAACTTAGCAATGGAACGTCTCTATAACCAAAATAAATAAATAAATAAATAAATAAATAAAATAAATAAATAATAGCTGATTGGCTTGTGGCCTCCCTTGAAACAGTGCTGGCCAAATACTTGCCAAAAAATGAGAAGCAGCACACTTTGTTGCCATGGCTACTGTAGGGCCACTCCTCTCCATGTCCGGTGCACTTTATTCCTCAAGCCTCAGGAGTTACTGACAGCAAGAGGAAGTGTCACCCAAGAAGCCTGTGCAGGGACTGCCCTCCTTTAGGGTAGCTGATTACAGACCCCGCAGGTGCATCTAGAACACAGGAAGTCTTGAAAAATGGTACATCCTTAGGAAGGATTTTATCCAGCCCTCACTGCAGATGAGGAAACCTGCTAGTCTAGAGCTCAGAGTTTCCTACAGAAAAAACTTACAAGCTCTTGCTTGGTTGGAGCCCTGATCTGGGTCTTTGTGTAAGACTGTATTACAGCCCAGCCATCTGCTTCTGTCACACCGAGTAGCTGTGTTTATGGGGTCAGAGGTCGGTCGGTAGAGAACATTTTCATTTTGCAGGATGTGTTCTTCGGATAAGAGTTAAGACTCAAAATTCTTTGAACCTGTGTGTAAGGTGGAGGTAAAAGTAGCCAGCATGTACTTGTGTAAACAAAGGAGAGCTGCCATTCCCTCATCTTCCATGCTAACGTTTGGATATGTGCACCTATACAGCATCCTCTGTTTCTAGAGAAATATGTTTATAGGTCCTAGAGGAAAATGTGGAGGACTACATACCCAACAGGAGATGGTGGGGGTAAGGAGCACATGCTGACCTTTTTGGGGTCTCGCCCCTGCCACACCAGTCCCATTGTCTGTCTGGAACAAGGCCTGATTACTGCCAGCTGTGGACCTCGCTGCATCCAACCTGAAAATGGGTGCATGTACAAGAGTCAGAACAAGAAAGGAGTCTTTAAAGAAAAAAAAAAAAAAGATCAATTCTTGAAAACACTTGGTTTAGAATTTGAGATAGAGAAAAAATCTTATTGAGTTTTTATCTTTTTTTCTATAGATCTGGCTTTCCCCGGATCAGTTATTCTGATCTGAAGATTTTGGTGTTTAAGGCATTAAGAAAATAATCTGAATTGTTCATGGTGCGTATACCTTTGATTATGAAGTGTTGAGACTATAACTTTAGAATAAGTGTCTCAGGTCTGGGGGTGTTAGCTCAGTAGTTGCATACTTACTGAGTTTAAGCAAGGGCCTAGATCTGATTGCCAGTGCATGACATACACACATTAATTCTGGTTATACACTTAACAATTCTAGTTCTATGAGAAAAATTGTATTTTCTTCAGACTTATACTCTGTTGAATAAAAAACAATGTTTTTGAATAGACAATATAAAACATTACTTTTAGATCAATTCTTGTGCATGGTGGTAGGCCTTTCATGCTGTTCCAAAATTCATTTGCTTTTAAAATACTCCCAGCACTTGTTTGGTACAGGTTGAGCCTCCCTAAGTACAAAATGTCCAAAATCTGAAACTTTTTGAAGGCTGACATGAAGCCACAAATGGAAAATTCTATACCATAGAGTTTTGTTTAGAATATTATTTTAAATACTGTATGAATTTACCTTCAGGCTATATGTAATGTATATAAAAAATATCAGCTAGTTTTGTATTTAGATTCATATTGCCAGCCCCTCAATAATCTTATTATGTATATGCAAATATTACACACTCTGGAAAAGTCTAAAACTTGAAACACTTCTGGTCCCAAGCATTTCAGAGAAAGGATACTCAACCTGTACATCTGTTGTTGATGAGACTTTTAACTGGATGGCTGGAAGATTGGCATCCTGTGGACACGAAGCCACTCATCACTCCCTTCTCAGATGTCTTTTGGGGTCAGATTAAACCTTGACACTCGTCACGGAGTGACCCAAAACTGCTATGGAGAAACTAGAAGACAACATTGAATATTTTGGCAGCGATGCCCTCTCTAGTTCTTCAATGGTGGTTTGTCTCTTCTATCAAGGAAGTATAATGCTCAGCCCTATTGTTGTTTTACTGAATCCTCCATACCTGTAGTTAGAGTAGATGCCACAGACCTGACTTGAGTCTTTTTGGGGGGCATGTGTGTGATGTGTGCATGATCGCATGTATGTGGGTGCATGTGCACATGTCTGCATGCTTGTGGAGGTCCAAGGGTAGATCTCTCTCCACCTTATTTATTGAGACAAGGTCTCTTAATTCAACCCAGAGCTTACTGTTTCAGCTAGTGGAGCCAGTGGACTTTGCTCTGGAGATCACCTGCCTCCACCTTCCTATAATTATAGACAGCCACCCATGCCCACTGGTGTTTCCATGGATGCTAAGGATCCAAACTCCCTGGGCAGCAAGTGCTTTATCCACTGAGCCTTTTCCCTGGCCCCCAGGGCAGGAAGATTTTTGCCTCAATCCTGTATCTTAAACTTTTTGAGCTCCATTTCCTGAATTTGATTCCCAGATCTTAACTAACTATAGAATATTGGGCAGGTTTTTAAGTTCTTTAATACCGTGGGGACAATAGTACCTACTTCATAATGGTTCTTTGGAATTAAGCTGAGACATCTAAAACATGGAGAAGAATGCCTACCATGTATTTTATAAAAGCTGCCATTTTTACTATAAATAGGCAAGTGTTAGTAAACTGAAAGTAACTAAAAATAACAATCTGGAAATCCTTCAGCAAGGATCACTCTTCTACCTCTGTTTTGGGATCATCTTTAACACTGACTCTGAAGCTGTTAGGCTCCAAATATTGATCATAAAATGAAAGTCTGGCTGTTTTCTGTATGAAAGTACTATTGTCATGGTAATTAAACTCTTTAAAAATTTTTTTGCAGGAGTTTTTCATCAGTATGTCTGAAACCATAAAATATAATGACGATGATCATAAAACACTGTTTCTGAAAACATTAAATGAACAGCGCCTGGAAGGAGAATTTTGTGATATTGCTATTGTGGTGGAAGATGTGAAATTCAGAGCACACAGATGTGTTCTTGCCGCCTGCAGCACCTACTTTAAAAAGCTTTTCAAGAAGCTTGAAGTAGATAGTTCTTCAGTTATAGAGATAGATTTCCTTCGTTCTGATATATTTGAAGAGGTCCTGAACTACATGTACACAGCAAAGATTTCTGTGAAAAAGGAAGATGTTAACTTAATGATGTCTTCGGGTCAGATTCTTGGTATCCGGTTTTTGGATAAACTCTGTTCTCAGAAGCGTGATGTATCTAGTCCCGATGAAAATAACGGTCAGTCAAAGAGTAAGTATTGCCTCAAATTAAATCGCCCCATTGGAGATGCTGCTGATGCTCAGGATGATGATGTGGAGGAAATTGGGGATCAGGACGACAGTCCTTCTGATGACACAGTAGAAGGCACCCCTCCAAGTCAGGAGGACGGCAAGTCACCCACAACTACGCTCAGGGTTCAGGAAGCGATTTTGAAAGAGCTGGGGAGTGAGGAGGTTCGAAAAGTAAACTGCTACGGTCAGGAAGTAGAATCGATGGAGACCCCAGAGTCCAAAGATTTGGGGTCCCAGACCCCTCAAGCCTTAACATTTAATGATGGAATGAGTGAGGTGAAAGATGAACAGACTCCAGGCTGGACCACGGCTGCCAGTGACATGAAGTTTGAGTATTTGTTGTATGGTCACCATCGGGAGCAGATTGCCTGCCAAGCATGTGGTAAGACATTTTCTGATGAAGGCAGATTGCGGAAGCATGAAAAACTCCACACGGCAGACCGGCCCTTTGTTTGTGAAATGTGTACAAAAGGTTTCACCACCCAGGCCCACCTGAAAGAACACCTAAAAATCCACACAGGGTATAAGCCCTACAGTTGTGAGGTATGTGGGAAGTCCTTTATCCGTGCCCCAGACCTAAAGAAGCACGAGAGAGTTCACAGTAATGAAAGACCGTTTGCGTGTCACATGTGTGACAAGGCCTTCAAACACAAGTCTCACCTCAAGGACCATGAAAGGAGACACAGAGGGGAAAAGCCTTTTGTGTGTGGTTCTTGCACCAAGGCATTCGCCAAGGCCTCAGATCTGAAGAGGCATGAGAACAATATGCACAGTGAGAGGAAGCAGGTCACTCCTAGTGCCATCCAGAGCGAGACAGAACAGTTGCAGGCAGCAGCAATGGCCGCTGAAGCAGAGCAGCAGTTGGAGACCATCGCCTGTAGCTAAGAGATGATGGGACAGGAGCACATGGCCTGGGAGGTGGATGCTGAGGTTGAATTGATCATAGTTGGTGAACACACCCGTGACTGCTTTGGGGGCAACTTGGAGTGTTGTATTGACTGGACCTAAGGCAGTGCTCGGGTTAGGTGTTTTTAAAACTTCTCAAGGCAATTATGTCCCCAAGTTCTGACCAAACAGTTTCACTATCTTGTGTCTAGTATTAATGTTACCAGTAAGCTCCCTGCCCTTCTTTTTTATGGTTTGAATTTGAAAACTCCTGTGTCCAGTTTAAATTGAGAGACTTATATTCCATTCTTAATTCCTCTACATTTGCCAAGCTGGTAAGTGCACTGCACAGAGTAATTGAGTAAGTTGATTTCCTAATCATCCCAGTATATGTGACTTGTGGTCAAAACAGCAGTTTTAATAAAAGTACTTCATATGGATGCAGAAAATGTTGGCGGGTGGTGACCAAGAACATTGTGCAAGTATAAAACCAAGTTTGACAATGCAGAATGGTATTAGCTTTATATTTGGTTTGTTGATTTTTTTAATAGATAGATAAAACTGTTTTTCACTGTTCCTATAGACATAATAGTTGCTTTGCTGAAATGTTTCTTCATCTGTTGGGATTGTCCCTGTGCCCACCCCAAATCTATAGGTCACATGTTCCACAGGGTGAGGAAGACCACCAGGATACTGGGTAGTGCTGGGGCTGAGTGCTTAGATTCCTCTTTTGTGGGGTGCTGCCATCCAGTCTCTACCAGTAAGCGTGTATGGAGTGGACCAGCGGTGGGGGGAGTAGAGAGGCTATCAGAGACAAAGTGCACAGATGCAGAAGTCCTGATTTCCTAGGTTAAAATCTAAATTATATCAAAGTTGTTATTAAAGTTCAAAATTAGGACAAGAAGCAAAAATACTCCAGATACATTTGTGTAGTTTACAGAAGATCATTATGCTTTGGGGTTCTCTCCAGCACACGATTAACCCATAAAGAAGATGCGATGTGCTTACTTCAGTGTAAAACCTTTTAAGTGTGTAAATAGTAGTGTTGGTCTTATGTATTTCAAGAAAAAGACAGCTGCACCTTTTTTTTTTTTTTTGCGCATTGGATTAAATGCCATTCATTAGCAACAAACATCAGACCGTTTTAACAGATATTAAACACTGTTAGACCAGATGTTTGTGTTTTTGAAGTATAGTTCATTGCTGGTTACAGTTTTAAATAGAGTTGATTGCCTTTTCATGGCCATAAATCAGAATTACAAACTTTTGTTTCAGATCTGGTATACTAAATGTTCTTTTTAACCATTTGCTTAGGAATATATTGAAATGCCAACAACTGTTTGAATTATGTTCTGTAAGAAAGTTATAGGCGATTATTTTAGGGTATGTACAGTTGTAGAAAATGCCAACTTTTAAAATTCATGTTTGGTTGCTAGGATTTTTTTTTTTTAACAAAAAGTACATTAAAATAGTTTCATGTTATAGCTTGCTGCATTAACACCTGTAATTACTATTGTGGAAAATTTTTATTTTCAGAATTGGTGTACATGTTATGCCCTTGATTGTCAAATGAAGATGCTACCTTTAAATTTTTTATTTATTGGTAAAAATGTTTTAGTTTAAAATTAATTTAATTTTCCTTGAAAGCTGTTTGTTCTCTATTGAAGGTTGTTCTGTCACTTGTTTCTGTGCTGTTAGTAGGAGGGGAACTGACTGTTGTTCCTAGGCTGTTTTAACCAAAGCAGAAGTGAAATCATTTAACGTCCTGTTGATAGCTACTCCAACAAAAACCATATTTTGGGCCTTCATTTTTGTATATAAAGAAAATATACTTCTCTCGGGCTTGTTTTCATTTTCTCATGACATCCTTGTACATATCCAGGTTCTACTGACATGTGCCTTTTATACCTCCTAGTTATGATTTTATAGAGGTGCATACAATGTGTAAAACTAACTGCTATTGAAGTTCCGTAATCATGTTGGTATCCTTCCAAAAAAACCCAAACCTTACTTTTTCAGTGCCTTGCATTATGTATTTATCATTTGACCTATTTTGCATGAGAAATGTGTTATAATTTCTATCGTGGGTGATGGGTTCCTATGTGTTGGGGGTGCATGTTTTCTTTGGGTATTTTTAGTGGCAGCAAAGTCTTCCTGGGGCCTAACAGTAGTAACACTGTCTCCATATCACCTGGCTGTAGTCATCTCCTTTGTATCAAAGCCACTGGGATAGATTTGTCAAGGAACCCTCTAGAACCATTGGGAGCTTATTCTGAAATGTGCTGACCTTGAATCTGTAGTGTGAGAAACAGGAATTCTAAACATCAGTATTACTACCTTTTCATAAATAACAGTTCTGTTTGTACAGAGTGTATGGCCACAAACTTTCTGTTAACTTTTATGCTTAACCTGCTTTGTATTAGTATAGGTCATGAAAGTGAATTTTGGAAATTGTAAGCTTAGGCTAGTATGTTAGTCAACTTTCTGTTACTATAAAAACCTTAGGAGAGCTGGGCCTTGGTGGCACAGCTGTGGCATTCCAGTACTCAGGAATCTGAGGCAAGATCTCAAGTTCAAGGCCTGTCTGGACAACTTTCTGAGGCTCTGGGGATGTAGCTCAGTGCTAGAGTGCTTGCCTCACAGGCATGAAATTCAGTCTCCATTACTGAAAGGAGGAGGGTGGGGTGTCTTGTTTGGATACTCAGGTTTGGAAGTTTCATGGCATAGAGCAAAATCACTCACCTCCCTGGCTGGGGATTAGAGTCCCTTGGTATCCCCTTTGAGGGCATGCACCTAATGATGTGAAGACCTCTCAATGGGCCCCATGTCTTGAATGTTCTGCTACCTCAGCACTATAAACTAGGACTCTAGCCTCTAGCACACAAATCCACTGGACAGCACAACCCAAACAATAGCAGGCAACTTATCAGTTACTAATTTACTCATTGATTTCAAATTCAGATGTTGCTATTAAATGAGTTTGATTCTAAACAGATTGTTCTTATTTTGCTGGCTGGGGAAGAAGGTTGAGAGAGATTATGCAAATGCATGTAGTTTCCAGTGTAATGGATTATGTGTTTAGGGTCATCTGTAACCCAGCCATTTGGAACCTGGGATTCATTTTCTTGTTTCTGCTGTCATTGAGACTAATTTCCAGAAGAACTGTGAGAACCTACTATGTGAGTTTAATAGAGCTAAGGTAAGGGTTGTATAGCGTTCTGAGTCAGGGAGCCAAGACTTCCTAGGAGAATGGAGAACTGTCACTTGTTTCTCTTCAGTCTGTCCACTTTTATAAACTCCTTTGTAACTGGGGACTTTCTCCTAGTGCATACTGTCAAAAAAGTCTTAATCCTGCATCTTCTTGCCAGTGTAAAGATGTAATCACTTGGAGCATACTGTGTGATACATGGGGCTAGATGGTGATACAAAGGCAGAAGAGGTTGGCTGCTGGCTAGTGGAGCGCATGTACCACTTAGGCTTGTCTTACTCATCCTTTCAAAAGTGAGAGTGGCCTTCCCCCATCACCTGTTGTCTGTGGTTCCTCCAAAGTGACCACAGACTTCGCCTCAACCCTGAATGAAACTTGGGTTGTGATGGATTTGGGCAGTTGCAGCTTTTCATGTTCAGAGATAGTGTCCAATGTCCACATAACAAAGTGCGGTTTCATGGGAAGACTTAAGGTCAGACTTGGGTTTGGATCTGGTTTTAAATTAGTCCACAAATTTAAAGACACTCAACTGCCTGGAGCCTTAGTTTCCTTATCTTTAAGGTAATGGTGTGGATTTCTACCTCACTGTCTGCCCTGAGACTTAAAAAACAATGAGCCCAGCACTCCCCTCTCCAGGTGTACCATAAATACTTCCTGATTCTTAAAGGTCATTCTCAGTGAACACAGAAGCAAATGACATTTTTTGCCTTTGGCATTGGTCAAATTTATACTCACTGGCCCTGAATTGTAGATCGAAGTTTCATTTAAAATATCTATAGAGGGGCTGGAGAGATGGTTCAGCAGTTAAGAGCACTGACTGCTCTTGTAGAGGACCCAGGTTTGAGTCCCAACACCCACATGGTAGCTATGAACCGTCCTTAACTCCAGTTCCAGGAGAATCCAAAGCCCTCTTCTGACCTCTGCAGCATTGCACAATATGGGTGCACTCACATACATGCAGGCAATACACTCATACACATAAAATAAAAATAATAAAAAAATATTCTCTAGAAAGTGGTACCTTAACATTTCTGTACGCTTCATCCCATTTACAGCTTTGTTCTTACAAACATGTATTCACGCTGGAATTTTCTTTGGTTTTGTAACCACTGTCTGCCTGTTTTTAAGTAGGTCATTGGCGTGTAGCCAAGAGTACATCCTGGTCTGGATGGCTTCCTATTTTCCTTAGGGAATGTGATGGCAGAGCCAGAATTGCAATTTTGAGAGCCAGTTTTTGAAGTCATGCTTTTAGAAAATATTCCTAAATTGGATGCTTATCAGACGATACCCAATTTTCCCTTTCTGGTTTGCATAAATTCCAAGAATGTCTGTAGCTTCTTCCCCAAAGGAGTTACGACTGATAACCCCAAATCCTGATTTTATTTCAGTCACTGGAGCTCTTCTTTGGCAGACATTTCCATTCTTACAGGAAAGTACTTTCTACAGAGTAAGACTAATATGTCAATCAACAATACTTGAACACCTTGATTTACAGCTCCAGGCAGAGGACTAGATGCTGGGAACGCCACAGTGCTTGCCGAGGAGGGAATGCCTTACCTTTCCACATTGTATGAAATTTTACAAAGACTCAAAATAATGTAGTCATCACATGTGTAAAATGTTTTTCAGGTTTGCTGTGTATTTTAATCCAGTTTATAGGACATATTTTTAAAAAGGTATTTACTATTTTGTCTTGAGATACAGTGTCAAAATCAACCATCTATTGACTTTTGAATGTGTACTAAAATTATATATATATATATATGGAGAGAGAGAGAGAGATTGTTACTGTTTCCATAGAATCAGCCTCATTTTCTCTCCATACTGTATTTCAGGAAGAGGAATGGTCATAGGAGACTGAGGTCTACTTTAAAACAATCTATTCCAGCATCTAGAAAGATTCTGGTGTAAATAAAAAATTTTAGATGTAAAGAATGATAAGCTGGGCTTTCTCGCAGCTTTGAACAAGTAACAATAACTCAGAAGGCTTAAGGGAAGGGGCCCTGAGAGCAGAGTACTCCAGGTAGTGGCTGAGAAGTGGAAGGCAAAGAGGCACAGCCCTTACTTCGTTTGCACTCACCTGCCAGTAAGGGAACCTGAGGGAGAACAGCCAGTGAGCTGGTGAGAATGTAATTTTTTTAAAGATATTTCTGTTGGGTTTAGATCACGTAAGGCTACCTGTTATTTTGACTGAGTGTTACAAAAGCACTCTGCTGTTGAGTTTACTTGGAATGTCATCACTTTGTTTTCGTAGTACAGAATTTCCCACGGTGTTTCTTACTGGCCACTGCTGCCTTTTGTTTCTTTACTTGCTTTCAATTCTCATATCAATGGAACCTCAGACACAGGAAAATTTACTGTCTCAAAGGGGGGCAGGTTCAGGATATATATCTACATTCATCCCCCCTCTTTGTGACAACTGATCCCCAATGAAGACACAGATTCTAGTCTGGATGGCTTCCTACTTTCCTTAGGGAACATGATGGCAGAGCCAGCATAGCAATTTTGGCCTGATCCTTGATGGAAAATCTGGCCCAAATTGAGTCCTTATCAGAGCCAGGACAGGAGAACATGCCCACCTGCTTCTAGCACCTGTGCTCTTAGTCATCCTACCTTCTACCTCACACCAGGAAAGGAGCAGTTAGCACCCTGTAAGCACCCTTACTGACCTCATTCTGGTGTTTAGCAGGAGAGAGTGGCATTTGTGTAAGCAGCTGCCCTTAGGTTTCTATTCTGAATTGGGTCCAATTTTTTTTTTTTTTTTTTTTTTTTTGTCTTTTTGAAGCAGGGTCTCCCTGTAGCCCCAGCTATCCTGGAACTCACTATGTAGACCAGGCTTGCCTTGAATTTACAGAGATCCGCCTGCCTCTGCCTTCCACGTGCTGGGACTACAGGTGTGTGCCACCACGCCCGGCTGGGTTAAATATTTTGATTCTCCAAGAAAGTCTCAGGCCAGCAAGATGGCTCAGAGGGTTAAGGTTTTTGTCACCAACATGCGCGCATACACGCACACACTAAGATAAATAAATAAAAATTTTTAAAAAGAATGTCTCTTATGCAGTGGGTCAGATACTAAACTGATCTTGCCTATCTTGCTTTAGTTCTAGAACCTGTCCCCAAATAATATGGAAACCTGTGGTCAAAATGGCATGGACAATTGCAGTGTGATTCAAAGCCACCAGCTGTTTTTCTTCACAAGTTGCAATATGTGGTGAGCCTGGTGAAATTTGGGACCAAAACTGTTTGAGGTTAGTCCCTGTGCTTAAGATCTTAAACTTTCCCTCTGGCCCTTTTTCTTCCTGGAAGGTGCTAGAACCTGTCCTGTCCCCTTACAAGTTCTGCCAATGCCATAGGCTGGCTGGCTGAATCTTTTTTTGTTGTTGGTTTTTGTTTTATTTTGTTTCATTTCTCTTTTTTTGACACAGGATCTCCCTGCAACTCCAGCTGGCTTGGAACTCACTATGTAGACCAGGCTGGCTTCAGTTTCACAGAAATCCTCTGCTTCCTGAGTTCTGGGGCCAAAGGCATGTGCCACCATGCTCGACTGAATAGTCTTCCTTAATTTCTTCTGTCAAAATACAAATGATGACCCCTATCCAGTTTACACCATTCTTGTTTATTATTCCTAAAGATAGAAATTTAGTTTTAAAATCAGATGCTAAGACTGTACTTTCAGGGATCATTTCTATAGTTTCTTAAAATCAGATGCTATTGGCATAAAATATGACTGACCTTAAACAGAGTGACAGGGATAGAAGTTTAACATCTGGGAAGCCTAATGATGATTCACTGATAGGGTGTTTTGCACTT